GTTATGTTTGGCTTGTTGCATGAGGGATTGGTGGCAGCCCCAGACCAGTTTTGAGGAATCTAAGGGATAACTACACGTTTTAGCTCATATGAAGTGCAGTACCGTGTAGGCATATTGAAGATTTAGACGCATAGTTGTGCATTTTTACAAAGAGACACCAACAAACTGACGCGCAGGCCATGTTTGTTCGTCTTCGCCCTCTCTGTGACCGTTGAACATGTTTCTTAAAATTCAATGTCTGAAATTCTGACTAAAATTTGCTGGATAATTCTGACTTCCAACTATACTGACCCACAGTAATATCCACTGTATTAAAGGTAATACATATAATTTGTCTTATGTATAAAATATTTAATGAAGTTTTATAGAGGACCGAAAATAAATTTAAATAAAATAAAGCTGTTGATAATTTAATATACTTCATTACGAAGTATATAAATTTTCCAAACTTATTAAAGAAATAGGTTTACTCACGCGATGAGGTTTCGCAGAGGGAGGTTCAGCAGATGTGCCTGTTATGGTCTAATCCTCTCGTAGCTGGACTCCGAAACGTCTCAGACGTCTGGTGGCAGTCACGTTGTCTTCATTGAGGACCGTAATGATGAGGGCAACTTTTTCGCAATGCGGTTACCGTCCTGCATGTTTCTTCGGGTCGTGACTTGTCCTCATACCAGATAAGTCACACTGGTCTTGGACTTGAATGCAGACAAATGAAGACACTTGACTGCAGCAGCTAATCGTACATGAATCTACCTTGTGAACGAACATGCTCTAATCAAGATTCGTGTTGCTCATTTGAAGATTTACAAGGTGAAATGTCTACTGCTAGTTTACCCGGGCAAGTAACTGAATAGGAAGCCGCTTAAGTAACGACGCAAATAACTGTATAATTTAATATGTCAATAAATTGTAACACATCTGACTAAATAACTGACGGAGAAACTAACGAATTTACTAGCTCCACAGCCTAGGGTCTCTCTTGAAATAGTAATGATCGCCAAAGAGGTCAAAAACTTTCCTGATTGTTACGGAGAGCAAAGGAGGAATATTATGTTTGTGGACATTATTACTTGTTTACTTGTCTGCATTATTGATTTATGTTAATGAAATTATTATTATTATTTGTCTTTTATTGCTAGTGAGGTGGGACTAAGTCCCTTGTACTGCGGCCACTTCTGGCCTATTGTACCAGCCCCAGACTATAGGTGAGGGTGATTGTGGAGCAATTGGTGAAATGAAGATTGGCAGGGGAAACCGAAGTTTTCAGGGGAAACCGAAGTTTTCAGAGAAAACCTGCCCCAGCACCACTTTGTCCACCAAAAATCCCACTTTTTTGGCTGCACGCAGCCACAAAGTAGGACACATCACAAGACACAGTATACACAAAATATAGGAAGAACGACTCCCATAGCGGAAGATTGATATACGACGTATAAGATGATAAATCTTAACAAATTTTAATATATAAATTTTATTATAATACATGATGAATATACATTTTAAATAATTTTATAAACGACACATGATGGCGAGCAGTGCAATAGTTTAACGTAAATAACACACCTGAGGATGGCACAGTGATGCCGAAACATGTAGTGAAGTGACAAGTGAGATTGTGTGCACTAGAAGACGGTCAATACATGAGCATTATTATTATTATTATTATTATTATTATTATTATTATTATTAGAGGGGGTGGGTTTCCCCATGCACTTAGAGCAGTTATTGCTCCATTGTGCCTCCCCCTTTAAATTCTACTGTACCCATACCCTACTGGTATTGGTGCGTGCTATCAGCCCCGTTCAGCCAACGAGGTCGGCCGTCGGTACCTGATATTTCCCCCATCTACCAGAGGTCTCCTAGAGACACGAGGATCTTTTACGTGTCGTAAATCTACGACACGGGACCCACGGCTTAAAGTCCCTCCCGGAGGACTTGTTCCCTGAATTTTTCCGCCCTTAAAAATTCCACGACCTCCGCTGGGTTTGAACCCGCGTACCTTGAGTCATGAGGTGGGAACGTTACCCCTAGACTACGGAGGCCGCTCGTACACATCATGAACGCGAATCGGTGCAACAGGATGCTAAAATACAACATTACTCTATGTTTCTTGAACAGTTGAACCACTCTAAGCTTCTGAATGAAGATTCTACTCCATGGGGTTAGGTAGGTGTCACACTTAAACACTTGATAGTCCTTCAGGAGATTAGAACACTGGACGCCTTCATGCAAACCAGAGTTCATCGCCGTGTTAAGGAAAGTCGACAACAGGACCTGAGTCAGTTGAGTGTAGTTCACTTCTTGGACGTTTGTTTTAAGATATTTTTGATATTAATGTTATAAATAATTTCAAAGCTATCATCATGTAATATTAATATGTCCCAAACATAATATCTTCCGTCGAGCTATTCGACCCAGTTGTTAATTTATATATTCTTTCACCCTTGGGTGTTGGGTGACCTACTTACTTCGTTCTTGTTAATTTATGCATCGTGGCGAAATTAGGTGAGAAGCACAAATTGGTGGTGAAACTTTCAGCATTTTTAACTAACCGACTCCCAGTTCTCCATATGAGTCTAATATTAGTTCAGCTATTGAAGAAATTCCGCCTCTTTTAGTATGGAGGGTTCATTACAGTGTTCGCAAAAGCTCGCCACTAGACCCTATTTTGAATCCAATCCATACTCACCTACAATATCTCTGTTAATGTTAGTTTCTATGTTATCATTCTCTCTACGTCTTCAAAGATGTCTGTTCCTTCAAAGTTAAGACCAAAATTTTACGCGCATATGATCATTCACATGTTTGCTACATGCACTTCTCGTCCTGTTATATCGTGGCGTATATATCTGTTCGTAGGAAATGACCGCGCAGCAAACGACAAGATAACAGCCGTTGCTAGGCATCAGATTTTTAACAAACAACTGTTGAACTACAAGAGTAGAGGACGTGTGTATTCTGTTGACAGTGCCGAAATGTTATAAGCAAGGAACAAGGTTAGAAGTTAGTCCTTTGAAAGTCGGGCTATGAAGAGAAGACTTACTGCCCTACAGTAAGGACGTAAGAGGAGAGTGTTAAAATCCCTTACCAGAATACGTCTAGTTAAGACAGAAGACTTTATGAGTGTTGTAGTTACAGTGATAATTGGAGTGTGTAATTCAGTGAGACTGTTATAGTTATTGTGTTAAAATCCTTTACCAGGAAACGTCTAGTAAAAACAGACTTTATGTGTGCTGTAGTTACAATGATATTTGGAGTGTGTAATTCAGTGAGACTGTTAGAGTTACTGTGCTAAAATCCTTTACCAGGAAACGTCTAGTAAAAACAGACTTTATGTGTGCACAACCACTTTGCACGGACCCAAAGGAGAGCACAGCCTGTTTTTTGATGAAGTTTATTTACCTCGCCCCTGCTTAGCAGTGGACTCCCTATTGTTTCCTCGTGCTGAAGCGAAAAGTTTTTTTACCAAGCTGTTGCCTATCAATGACTATTTTCCCCTATTATGATAGAAGCTGCAATTCTGATATTGTTGCCTGCGTCAGGAAAGTGCTCAACTAGCAACGTTTTCTTTCTGGCTCCATAGCTTAATGCTTTGAGGAAATCCGACGCAACATCTACATATTTTACTAGTGCCTTGCACTCATTATCCTAATGATTCAAGAGAAATGACATGTCTCATCTTCGAATTTGACAGAATTCTATTGAATTTGGTTTCATCAACTCGACATGGAGTATTGTCCAGCGAATATCATCTTTACTGGTACCGGCCCACGTGACCCTCGACTTGCATCACACGCTTGTTAATCTATCGAATTCACACAACGGACGAGGGGCATGGAGGAAACGCGTGCATGTGACATATGAAACAGACGTCATTGAGGTCTACAACTTTTACTTGGAACATTCTTGAATACGGTGTGATGAAGTTTCAAGGTGAGGTACCTGGATTGCCAGTGCTCTAGGGTGGAGTTAGAAACTCTTGTGGCAGTTTAGTACCGTCACGGGAGGGCTTTAAGAATTTATCTATGGGACACCCGGTAGCGTAGTTGGTTGAGGCACTATACTACAAGCCGGAAGGTAGCTGGATCGAATCCCGATGAGGTGGATTTTCTTAATTGACCTAATCCTTCCAGCCGCACTATGGCCCTAGAGTCGACTCAGACTCTAACAGAAATGAGTATCAGGAATATTCCTGGGGGTAACGGGCGGCCGGCGCGTAAGGCTGACAACCTCACCGCCATCTTTGAGCCGATTATCTAGAAAATGTGGGAGCCTCAATATCTCACAATCCTATGGGCCCTCAAGGCTTGTTAGGGATACCTTTACTTACTTACGTTAAGGATTTATCTAGCGGGCTACACAGAACAGATAGACGTAGCATGTATTTTCAACTGAAGAGGGAACTGCAAGAATGCTCGTAAATGCCATATACCAAGAAATTTGAACTTTAACGACGATAAAAGTTCGTGTTGTGGTCTTATAGGTTATGACACCGTGCAATTTCACACGTATTTGAAAGCGTTGCATAGGTACATACCGCTCCAGCAACATGGTATCAGCAAGATAAAAATATTCTTCTACTTTACTTAGCATCCCTACTATAATGGAAGTTTCAAGTTGCAGCTTCACCATTTATGATCTCTGCATTAGTTGAAGGCAAATGTTCATCCCTAGGCCCCGACCGCTTTACCCCCGCAGAAAGTTTTGCTCCATTAGTCGCTGCATGGGAGGCTTTGTGGGTTCGAGAGCAGGTCCGAACCTTCCGTATAAGAGAAAAATTTCCACTGCCGAGAATAGAACATGAAACCCTCAGTCATCAAGCCCATAGCTTAATTATTGTAGGTGCTGAGCTGTTACAGCTAGGACTTCTAACCTGAAACTTCCAGCTAACATATAACTTCCAGCAACATTCCATAGAAATATATTGCATCCTTATTCAGAGTATAATATCATGTCCTGAAGATACAGGCAGTGAGTACAGCGAATTATTTTTGTTGCAGACTCTCTGCTCGCTACTGCTTCATCCAGTCCTGGGGCTTCCTTTCGCCAGGCAGACAATTGCCAAGTCTGCCCGAAGCGATGACCTCATCTCTGGGACTGACTTCCTATCCGTCTTCATCGGAGCCTCGATTCCAAGATCGCGGGCCGTCAACAGAAGCCGAAACTTCGACAAACACATCGACTCCTTCACTTCTGAAGGGTCTTACATTGAGGAAACTACTGTGCTTGACACTTTAACTTCACTAAATGACAGTACCTCATTACCAGCAGAAATATTTGGCGACTCCTCGTCCATCCTACCGATTAATTTCCATGAGGGAACTGAAGAGGATAGAATGGACGAGATCTCTACAGGTTATGCAGATTTGTCCACAACTGAAGCGTTTGAGACACATACACTTAATACTGAAGCTCAAGAATCACCGCTTCCAAATTCCTCATTGGACGGCACGAATACTAGAATTGTAGACGTTGAGTCAGTAGATGCCAATAGTAAGAGGACTGACTCTGCTCCTAAATCTTCCTCAGAAAAAATAGATTTTGAACACAATAAAGAAAGATATGAAAGCAACATTTCCTTTACGCCGTCGTCAAATATTATGACTTTCTCTGACAATTCTAACTCCTTTACTTTTGGACTGGAGGACATGTTTGCATTTCCGAACAACAGTAACATCCTCTCACACAAAGAATCTGAAACTAATAGTAAATACTCTTCAATAAGCAAGGTTCCTGTTGAGAACAAAGCATTCAGCATGAATCCAACTCTCAGCGAAGGAAATAAGACTGCAGATTTTCCAAGCTTGGAAACAACCGAAGAGAATGGGAAAGAGGATCAGACTCACAAGGTAGTCTCGGTTCGCATATCATCGTCAGTTGCTCTCGGTGCAGCGCAAGACAGTAAATATGATCGCAATAATAGACGCTTTTTTAATAACTTCCTCGATTCTTTTTCGCATAACACTGACAGAGGAGCTCATGGTCCTTCAGCTGGGAGCATTTCGTTGGTGACAGAGGAACAGCCAGCTGCGACAGCCATCCAGCGCAGTCAGTTCAGCGTAGAAGAAGCCTCGCCTTCTTCTTCAATAATTTCTGTTCATCAGGAAAGCTCCTCCTCCAACGTTCAGTCTCGACAGAGTGTTTTACCCTTTCGTCGTCCAACTGAAGTGCCGTCAAATCCACAATCATCTCCCGTGCGTTATCATACTAGTGTCTCCACAGCTACATCTGGCAGCAGAGTTCAGTTCCACAGCGAACCGCCTAGTTACCACAGACCTGCTGTTTCTGTAGCCGAGACAGTACAACGCAGAGTAGTTGCAAAACAACCGCAGCGCCAGGGTTATGGGCAAGTTACGAGTGTCTTCAAGACGGCGGGAGACAGCAGTATGAAAATGAAGAGCAATTATCAAACAAGTAATTCACAAGGAAACGCTAATATTGACACTCAAAACGCAGGTCACCAATTGCAAGAAGAAACCAACCGCGCTCACATGAGTTACGGCGCTCATCAAGAGCCTCCAGAAAAAAACTACGAGATTGCAGAACAGAACCACGGTTCGCCTGAGAAGATTTACGCTACCCCGGAAAAAAATTATGAAGTGGAGGAGGCTGTGAGTGTAATGACGCACGGAAGAGCTCACGGGGTTCAGCTACCGGTAGTGACGGCCCCTGAAGACAGTACCGTGGGGGATTTCAATGCTCAACACGAACAGTCACAAGATCCTAACTCCAAATTCGGGTATGTGGTTGAGGGCAGAAACTTCCGCAAATATCAAGTGGAGGAACGAACACCAGATGGATTCATCGTAGGTGAATATGGTGTTGTCAGCCATGACGACGGGAGTCTCCGAGGCGTCCGATACACGGCAGACGGTACCATCAATCCCAGACTCATTTACGATGCACTTGTGAAGTTCCTGTCTCTATAAACTAAAAGTGGAGTCATATTATTTGGAAGATCAAAGTTTTCTGCTATTCTGATATTGATTTCGTGACCAGGCTTCGATTATAGGCAGAGGCAGAGAGTTTCTCTTCTGCACCATTGTGTGAAAATCGGCTCTGCCCAACCAGCCTCCTATCCAATACATACCGAGGACACTTCCCTAGGGACAAAGCTGCCGGAGCGTGAATGTCTTTATTTACTTCCGTCTAGTGACGAGGTTAAGAATGTGTCTTTGGACCTTCGCTCTCCAAATTCTCCATTGGAAAGTGCTCCATTAAGTTTTAGTCTTATTTTTTCAATCATCAAAGGATCAATAGGTTAAGATCTGCTCCAACATTTTGGCTTTGGATTTCAAATCAATTTCGGGGCGTGGACATGTACCCGCATTTAGCAATTTTGTCCCGAACTAGAAGAGGCCTTACGATTGGCAGATCTTCTAACCAACAAATTCGATCGAATGTTTCTAAGTGATGAAACGTACTATACTTTAATTTGAAAGGCATAAGAGACTCGAATAAATAGGTTATAAAATTATCTAGTAACAAAAAATCTGTTGCATACTCTCGACACGTGTGGGACTATTGTGTATTCAGGGGAGGGATGCAATAAAGAAAGGTCGAACTTAAGTCTGTAAACGTGTAAGGGATTTAAAGTCATTTATATTTAAATTCCGCGATATTGCAGCGGACACCATGAGTCGGAAATGCTACAAGTCTTCTTGAAGTCGCCTAAGTTTTTTGGATACTCTTCATACCTCCTCCTATAAGTGCTGAAGGCTGTTGAAATTCATAACATTTTACGGCATAGTTGCAAAAACCAAATAGAATTTACTTCCGTCGGCTCTATTGTACCAGTCCTTGAAACTTCTTCTGTATTATTGCGTTAACCCTATGAACTGATAGCCATGTTATTTCTGTTCCATTTTGAAGTTCCTTAATATTTTCAATTGTTTGAAATATTGTTCAATAGATTTGTTCCTACCTCACAGAGAATAAGCTTGATATCCATTACAGAACCCAATATGCGTGTATTAGTGCTGCTTAGGGAAGTAATAATTGTTTATGCAGAGAATCACAAAACTCATAAATACAATCTTCGGGCAAAACGCATATTTTTTCATGTTAAAGCATATAGTGTTTATGGATACTATTGTGTTTTAAGGTTTAAAGTAATTCAACTGTTGACAGCAAATAAGTACTTTGTAGTCCACAATCAAGTTTTTCTTTGAAATATTTTCTCTTGCTAACCGCCTGCTCTGGCATGTACTGACTTCGCTTACTTGGAAACCGGGATCGTGGGTTCGAATCCCACTCATGGCATGGATGTTTAGTTTGTGTGTGTGCGTTTTTCTGTGTTTGTGTACAGGTAGAGGACTTGCGATGAGCTGATCACCCGCATAAGGAGTCCTACCGAATGTGTAAGATCTAGAAAAACCGAAGTGAACGGAGAAGTTCATGGAGGTAGGCCTAGGCCCACTGGGGCTATAGTGCCAAGGAAAAAACGCCTGCTCTTGGTTACTTCAGCAAATATGGTTTAGCATGGTCATAGTTTAATGTTCACTATAATTCCATCACTCGGGAAGCTCTTCTGTTTTTTCTCTAAAACATATTCAAAGGCATTTCATACCCTGAGCTGGCAACCTTACGGAAGAAAAGGTTTGTTATATTCAATATTTCCAATAGGCAGTTTTGGTTACCATAATAATTTTAAAATATAAACTAATAAATATGTAATTCAAATATAAAAATTTACTTAAGTCTCCGAGGAAGACTCACGCTCAAAGTTATTTTGGATGCAGTTTACTAGCCGTGTCACTGTACCCTCGAGTTTTGTTACTTACATGTCATTAAGTATTCAATGAAGAGTGCAACATATACCAGTTTACACAGGGGCCATGGTAATTATTGTGAAGAAAAAGCGATAGCATTTTTTCGTTTACTTTCGAAATTAATATCGTAGGTCAAGAACCTGGATTCTGCCCATACTCATACTGTCTGAGACTTTAAAATCTCTGCTAATGATGAATACTATTAGCAATTGGGGGTTCTTCAAATGAAACCCATTCACTTGTGCCATCACAAGAAGACGCCAAGGACTCCGTAAAGCAGTGGTTCCGCCAACAGCACAAGGCGTTCTTTGCGCAGGGGATCCTTCGGCTGGTGATTCAGTGTGATGCCTGCCTCAATGCCCATGAGCACTATTTTTAACGGTTTCTACTCCCTGGCCAAGAACAAGCCCCAACTGGATTTAATTTGATCAACTCATATATGTAAGAATATTTGTATATACACGTAATTTAAATATTTTTGTTTAACAATGTCCCACTTCTTTAGAAAAGTACTAGTAAATCATGACTTTCATTTTCATTTTAAACATCTGCTATACTTTTATTAACGTTCCAACAGATTTTCAAAACGGCAACATTAATAAAAGTATAGCAGGTGTTTTAAATGGAAATGAAAGTCATGATTTACTAGGCACGTTACTTACGTATTGAGCTGATGAAATAACGCCGTTAACTAACGGAAGAAGTAACAAACCCAAAGTGAAGATTTTATCACAGGCCTAATATTTTGATCGCAAGTAGCGAAATTTTAAGAGGTAATGAGAGAGGAAGTTACTGTATAAAATTAAAACAAACATCTATTCACAAATTAAGTATAAAGTCTATTGGTGTTTCGTGGTCAAAACATCCACATAATTTTATAGAAAAATACAATTTTCATGAGCTAGGAATATTAGAATTATGTTCTTGGATGTGACCCCACGTAGTTTAGTAGATATATACCATCTTTTCGGAGAAACTACCTGCATCCATTGTCAGGGTGGAAAGAGTGAGGTGACTTCTATCCTGAAAATGGAGGCAGCGGGGCTCTCTGAAATGTTGGTACCTATCTGCCTCCCCACATGACGTCACACACCAATAGACAACAATCGCATTATGTTATCACATGAATTTCTGGGGAATATGGATGAAGGCTGAAATAATATTTTGGTAGAGGTACAACGCTATTTTGTTTCATATTGTCGCTTTGGGTGTAATTCCTGTCTTGATAATGTAGCTCCCGTATAAGCAACACCGGCTGTACAAACTGAGTGTATAGAAGGCAGATTTTATTGTTTAAACCATTGTCCATGGCTTCTTCCACACTATCGTCAGTTTTGACCTTCTGCCCCGGAAACAGATAATGGAATATATGGGAGAGCCTGTAGATATAAAAGAACAGAGAGAGTAGTGAAACACTCTGGCGTATTCAGTGAATCATATCACGGTTCACGTAGGCCTGATACTTTCTGACCAAACGTTCCTTGTCGGAACACGTTGATTATGAAGATTAATAGGATCTTCTGGGATGAAAACATGTACGTGGTGTGACAATAAAGTTCGAGAACTCATCGCGGTAAAATTGCTACAGATCTCATTGTTGATTATCTCTGTGGTCGCCTTCAAAGTACTTCCTTTGGAATGCTGCGCATCAATACTAGCTCCTAGTTCACCCTTAAAAAGAATTCTGGAACTGGTTTGGGGGAATTACCTTCAGCGCTGCTGTCGTACTCCTGGTGTCATCAAAATCACCAAAATGGCTTCCTCTCAATAATTCCTTTATCTTATGGAACAGAAAAATGTCACTGGGGGCTAGATAGGGTGAATAGGGAGGGTGTTCCATCACAGTTATTTCTTTACTAGCTAAAACCTCCCTCAGAGACAGTGCTCTAATTCAAGTTCCGACATCCCCGAGACGGCACTTAGAAAGAGACTACCATAGGTCAACAACAACACATCTGTGAAACTCTAATATGCCAATGTCATCGTACCATACTGATTTTTCTGTCCACCTGCCACGGCAAGCACAGTGGCTAGTTCGCGAACTTTATTGTCAGACTTTGTACATGTATGGATGGACAATAACGCTTCGGAGAAACCTATGGCCTTTACCTTCAAACCCGAAGATGAAGGCAACGGGAACCTCCAGATATTGGTACATTTATACCAAACTACACGAAGTCTCAGAATACAAAAATATTCATTGTTTTCTATGTCACAATCATTGCTATGGGATTATGTCTTACTTCTAATGCTGTTGTGATGATTTCTTGCCATGGCCGTCGTCCTATCCAGCCAAGGATATGTTGTCCGCCATATTGACGTCTCTCGTCACGACAGCATGGTAACCACAGACGAGGTGGTTACAAAATATTAGTGTGTATACTTTCGCTATATTAACCAGTATCTACCAATAACACATGACTATAGAATTACGAGTTGACTAACAAACCAACACACACCTCTTATTCCTGCTAAATTACTTCTTGCTTAAATACGAATAAGGACACCATTCAAGCTATGAAGCACTGAATGAGAAACAGCAGCATGATTATGCATTGCGATATGAAGGGAACGTTACAGGAAATTGTCGTGGTATATTTTAAGACACTCTTGGCATAAACATTGAGAAACTGAGCAAAACGACGAAACTTCTGCCATGACAGCCTATCCTATGGTCATGATTTCAACTTTGGATGCGGAGAATATGGAGAGGTGTAGTAACCACCGTCGGGTTAACTCCCCTCTGCCAAAGTAAAATTGTTTGTGGCCATGTTGACTGCTATGTTAAATGAAGTTAATAAGAAAATAACTGTATAGTGAAAACTTATGAGGGCTGATGTTCTCACTGTGGCCAAGATTCAGATTGTGATGTTGCATTATAGTTTATGAATGGATGTACTTCATCAGCTGAGTACCAACTTTTCCGTCGAAAATACTGTCTCCATTGGGACTGTGAATGTTGATACCCTGATGATTGACGAGGCAGGTTCCTCGAAAGTGTTGGTATCCACCTAGCAGAGTACAAGGTGTCAAAGTCCAGAGGGCTGCTATTTAAATTCTGTGGCAATATAATTGTTTCAAGCAATTCAAAACTGTGGTATGATAAATGTGAACGTGTTTAATACAAGTGTAATATTATTGTATTAATCTATCAGAATAAATAATTTTATTGTTAATATTTCAAACCAATGTTTCTCAAGGGCTGCCAAATATTGTTTTAATAAATAATAAAAATAAGTCATATGTAAGTTATCTTGTTTCATTCAAGTCCTGGCAGTTATTCATTCTGGGTAGGTGGTTCAGATTTATTTAATATGTCTAGTGATTGAGGTATTTTATTTATTCCCGAAAACAGACAACATAATGTTCCATTTGACTACCGCAGTCTCGGAAAATTCATGCTTGGGTAGAGCTGGCTACTTACATTAATTGAAAGAAGGGAGTGTAATATACGTACACCGTGCACTAAGAGCCACGGGCCGTGCAAGTTTGCAGGCGAAGAAAGTAAAGAAACTGAACGAAAGCTATGACGTCAACTCCATTTGTGTAACCGATGAAAATATAGACGATGTCCAATTTAGATTCCATGGAAACTCCTTAAACAGAGAATGACAGCTGGAAAATAATTTTCTTGTAATGGAACAGATATCTTCCAGGATCTAACTTTATAAGGCAGGGCAGTATTAAAGTTTAACTTTAAGGTGTTTATTGAATTTAGCTGACTCAGAATCCAATGATTGATTTTTGCTAATTCAGTGATAGACCTTCGGATTACCTAAATGCAGGAAATATATTAGCCAGCTGAATGACCATGCAGTTATCAGAAGAAAACCGGTAAGGAAGAGTTTCTTCTGTTAATTTATAAAGTGCACTTTAAAGAAGTGCTACAGGCCATGCCAAGATGGATGTGATGAATAAGGACGTGAAGATTTAAATAAGTAGGATTTGAGGTGACATTGAACACTTCTATTTTCTGGGATATATGAAGTTGTGTAGCCCGTTGAAATTTAACCGATGCTCCAGACAGAAATGTATCCTCCATCTTCAGGTTCGCAGGATAAGCCAAGCAAGAAATCAGCATGAAGCAAGTAACAAGAATTCTGTGGAGGAGACATATTCTTCCGAAACGTCTGTTGAACTTCAATGGACTACACGCTGTTTTTACATGGTGATTCTCTCGCTAGGAAACCCAAACATTCCTCAACATCTTTTTACTTCTTTTTGTACAGTTCCCTATGAAAATTGACACGTACTTACCCTGTATGTTGCAAAACAAGATCTGTCTAGAACATGTGCTAAAAATGACCCCCTCCAGCATCCAAAGACTTTTGTATGCGAGTCTGCAAATTGGTGAAGACATCTGGTAATGTGATATCGGTAATGGTAGCAACCTCCTACCATAAGTTTCTTTGAGGGCGTCAATTTTTCGGGGCTTATCGCTGTATACACGACCATTCAGTAAACCCCACAAGAAGAAATCAGGTGGCGTCAGGTCTGGTGATCTTGGCGGCCACAGATTTTTCG